CGCTGGTTGCGTGGTCTCCCCTCCGAATTAGTTCCGCCGCCAGCCACACGAATCATCTCGTGCTTATTGTCTGAAAAAAAAAAAAAAAAAAAAAATCAGGCGATGCACTCGTTTAATTAAGATCCATGTACTGCGGGGTAAGCAATTTCGGAGGCACTGCCTATAGTTGATGCCACTATTGCACCGAACCGGGCTATGAAGCCACATGCCTTTACGCGGATACTCTTTGAAAAAAAGCTGCCCGCTGCCGCTTTCTCCCTCTTGTCCCTTTCCTCTCTCCCTACCTTCTTTTGAAATTCTTTTCACGGCTACCTGGGGCAGTCTGGCCTCCCCATTATGGCGGGAACTCCGGCATATGACCAGCAGAACAAGGGTCCAGTTCTGCTGGCCGTGATGTGGGCACTGACTGGCCTCGCGACCGTGCTGGTATGGGCCCGATTGTTTATTCGACTCAAGATTGTGCGTGCCTTTGGGCTGGATGATCGGCTCATTGCCATTTCGATGGTGAGTTCCTCTTGGACTCCCGTGGTGCGGATCTCAGTTCGTATCTGACCCCGTACCAATTTCAGATCTTAGGGTTAGTCAACGTAAGTATTGCTACGGTCGCTGTCCACCGCGGCTTTGGGCGACATTCCTCTACGATTGGCCACGCCGCGACTGAGCGCGCGAACATGACTATCGACATCGGCTGGATCTTCGGCATCCTCTCCTTTGCCTTCCCTAAGATGGGGGTAGCCGCGCTGCTTCACCGCATCTTGGTCCCAGGCTTCCGTATGCAGTGCGCGCTATGGGGCTTGACTGGGCTGGTGATGGCCGTCGCCGTTACAAATATCATCATCTTCTTTACCTCCTGCGATCCGCCGCGCGCTCTGTGGGCGACGGTCCCAGGAGCAACGTGTCGCAGTTCCGGTGTGATCATCGGGTTTGCGACGTTCAATGGGGGTGAGTCCATCCTGATCGAGTTACAGGGCTTCTGTTCACTGACATAGACAACCTCCCCGCGGGCTGATAGCGCTTTCCGCCTTCACCGATCTCAGCCTCGCCATCTACCCTAGCGTGGTTCTCTGGAAACTGCAAATGTCGCTCCATAAGAAGCTGGCGCTGTGTGCCGCGCTGGGGATGGGTGCTATGTAGGCTTTGCCCGCTGTCCTTTTCAGTCCTCCTTCTGCTCCTACTGCTGCTAATCCCTGTATTCGCAGATCCGCCTGCGCGGCTATCATCAAAACCACCCACATCAACGCCCTTGCCAACGTCTCCGACGCAACCTGTAACCCTCCCTCTCTACAAGTCGCGCCCCTTTATCCAAGTTCCTCTTCGCACTAGATATACTGACCCACGATCCCCAGACGCAAGTTGGTCCCTCGTCCTCTGGACAAAGTTCGTCTCTTCCCAACCCCTAATCCTCACACGATAACTAAACCCACCAACCCCCAAAGTGTCGAAGCGGATCTCGTCATCATCGCCTCCTGCATCCCCACCCTCCAACCCCTCCTCGAGTTCCTGCTGGGCAAGCGCTCCCTCGCCTCCTACAGCCACCCGCGCTCCTACCCGAAGGCCACCGGCTACGGGAATGGTGGATCGAAGCCCTCCAACAAGCGCTCCCGCCGGTCGACGATGCTCGACCCGACCGCCATCACGATGGCCTCGATGCGCCGCGACAGCCAGGAGGAGATCCTGCCGAGCGCGGGCCCGACACAGAAGCCCGGGTGGGAGATCCACCGGACGGATCACATTGTGATCGAATATGATATGGAGACTAACAGTGAAAGGAGGGCCGAGGGAGCGGGAGGGGCGGTCGCCGCAGCGGCGCCCGGACGGTAACCCTAACTGAAGGGTAGAAATGGTTGACGAGCCGACATGGTGGTGGCCCCCGAGCCCACAATATAGTTATAGTCGGAGGCTGAACTTCAAGTTAGTGTAACGCTATTTGCGGAACCGATTCAACCAAAAGCATCAGTCTAGCTGCAGAGGTGGTGCGTAATACCGAGATGGTTGAGGGCGGAGGTCGACGCATTTACAATATAAGTCACGCGTGCTAGGAGCATCATATTTTTTACCCGATGCACTCACTACCTTCTCAGCCAACAACACTAGGACTAACAAGACAGACAAAGCAACTTGGAGATTCCTAACATTCTCAGCGGAAAAAGAAAGGCAAAAACATACAACAGAAGGGATTCGCTGGTGGTCACCCACCCAACTACTAACCTCCCGGCGTGTGGCTTGAGTACGGCTGAGCGGACGGGAAGCCCTATTTTCCACACCCTGTGATCGTATGTGCATGGTTATGACAAGTTCTGGGTCTAGTATTCAATCTCTTAGCTTTGATCCCTCATTTCTGTGAGTTGGTAAAATGACTGGCTGCTACATAATTGAGGCTTCCCGTGCTGAAGCACGGGAAAAATGGCGCAAAGATGGAAAACATGGGATCAGAGATTGAACTTCACACTAAGCAATTCACCCCGCCCCAACCCCCCCCAGCAATCTCTAATCAGTCCAGCTTTTCAATTGCAAAGTCCTCCACCTTCAACCCGTACTTGACCACCCGGCAGACCTGGTAGACGGCCAAGCCGATGTACATGAGATAGTTCTCGAGCTCGTCATTCCACTGCGCCACGGCTTTGCCCCAGGTGCCCGCGAACCCGGCGATGGTCTCGATAAACCCGTTAATGATCAGCACCTCGTTCTTTTCCGCCGCGGTGGCATCCATGATATCGGTCGTGAGTTTGAGGCAGAGCGACGGCACTGACAGCACGGCGCTGACCGTCCCCTTCCACCGCTTGACCACCGGTCGCTCTAGCTTCATCTTCTTGCTCACTAGTTTGATTACGGTGCCGGAGGCTAACTTGGCGCCCCCGAGGGCCCAGCCCTGGACATTGGATCTTAGTTTTAGGTGGTTGTGTGAGTGGGGTGGGGCCGAGCACTTACTGCATACTTGAGAGCGTGTTTGGTGTCCAGTGAGGCGGTGGTCAGTCCAGAAGAGTAGGAGGCGGCGGATGCTGTGTCGTCTCCAACGGGCCAGGTTGTGAATCCGTTCACGGCGGCAAAAGTCAGGGACGCCGAATCAAAGACATTCATGATGCTATCCACCGGACCGAAGGGGATACTTTCAAGCTCGAGTCCCTCGAAGGCGCCATCCAGCCCCAGCGAAAGCACGTCGAACTCCGTCTCGATGAGGAGCACGCCCGACTCCGCGGCGACGCTGAACCCTCGGATATCCGCCGCGAGCGAAGCGTCGCCCTGGCCCTGCACGTACTGGCCGAAAGTGCCCTTCGTCAACCGCCCAGACAACTTGGGGGGCGCCCGCTTCTTCTTCGCCTTGTACAGCACGGTGGTCGGGATCGCGATCAAGAGCGCGCAGAGGTTCAGCAGCGTCAGGGGCCGGCCCCGGGCGATCACGTTCTTCCAGAGCCACGTTATGACGGGGATGTTGATCTCCTTGGTCGCCAGGTCCTGCACGAGGTCGATGCCCAGTCTCAGGGCCTCGAACAGGATGTCGGCCAGCTTCTCCACCGCGTCGATCATCCCGTTGACCAGGTCCACGCCCACCTTGGCCATGACCTCCCGCACGCTGAAGTTGGCCGGGTTGAAGAATTCCACCAGATCCTTGGCCACATTCGTCACCGTCTTCATGATGATCTGCACCTCGTCCTGCACGTCCTGCCACAGCTTCACCAGTTGGTCTTCGGTCGTGCCCCCTGTCGCGAAGGCGGCGGTGGTGCTGTCGTCGTGGAGCACCGCATTCGTCGTTCCGCCGCCGTAGGTGAAGTAGTACGCCGACCAGTTGTAGGGCACGGCCGCCTTGACCTCATCCTCGTCGGCGCCCTGGTCTGCATTGCCGTCTGCATCACCACCGGCCGTGCTGGCTGCGACCGTGGTCTTCTTGTTGTTGCTATTGCTGCCTCCCAGCCGCGCGCCGTTGTAATCGTTTGACTGAAGGGAGGTGAGGTTCTGCAGGATCGTGGAGCGGACGTTCTCCAACCACTTGTGCGCGTCGAGGTCCGCCGCGTCCAGCGCCTCCTTGCCGTATTCCAGGGCCGCGTTGAACCCGGCGGCGATACTGTCGGTTGTGTCAAGGATATCGCCCCACTCGAACAAGAAACTGATAAACTCGATGATATCCTTGATGACGGCGCCGATCTTCTTGAACACCCAGATGACGCCCTTCACGATCGAGGTGATGGTGTTGAGGGCGATCTCGAAGATCTCCTCGCCAATCTTGACGATAAACTTCCACACGCCGCCGACCACATCGCAGGTCCATTGCCAGACATCCTCTGCAACCGAGGTGATCCAATGCCACGCTCCACTAAGGGCGTCCCCTATATCGGACCAGAACCCATAAGGGACGGGGGTACTGCTGTTCGGAGAGGCAATCGCTGCGTGGTATGCCTGCAGCTTTTGTTTCTCCTCGGCATGGAGATCATTTGCACTGGCGACGAGCTTTTGGAAGATCTTGGCAACGCCATCCGGATCGTCGGGGGCTTTCTCGAACAACGGCGTCCCATCCGCTTTCTTGAGGTTTTTGACTTGGTCGCCGGTTTTGATGTCCTGGATCTTGGGGAGGATCTTGCGGGATGGATCCAGGATCGGATCCGTTAGGGCTCGTTCGGCCGCTGCCGCCGACGACAACGACACCGACTGCGAAGGTTTCTGCGCGGGGCGGTAGGCTTCGGCGGCGAACTGATGGATCGTGGCGTCGTCAGTCTGCAAAAGGATATTCAGGACACCTTTGGCGTCGGTCTGGTACCACTCTGCAGTGGGCGAGAGAGTCGTGTGGTGACCGTTGACGATACACCGAACGAGGCCGGAACAGCTTACACGCAGCCAGCACCCGGGGAGGAGGTCGGCCGCGTCCCCGTCACTATCGTTGGTGACCGTCGTGTGTAGACGGACCATCGATCCTTTTACTTCGGTGATTGTCTCTTCGGAAGCGTGCCAGAACGGGTACTGCTGCCACACCTGCGAGGCAGGGTCCTGCTGCAGGAGGGACAGGTTTCCGGTCTCGTCCACGGACAGCAGACTGCTGACTAGAAGCTTGTTATCCCCGTCGGCGGGCCGGCTGGACAGAAGGCTGGAGATCCGGCCGCCTTGTCCTTTCGCGAGGAGTGGAATCACGATACCCTCGGAGAGAGCCGTAGTCTTGGTGGTGTAGTAGTAGACCGCGTCGGTCGCGGTGGTATACCACAGCCGGAGGCTCTCCCCGGTCTGCGAGACGTGCAGATCCTTGAGGTCGCTGATCCGCTTCAGACTGTCGATCACCGTGCCGGCACTGGTCTTATGGGAGCTGTAATCCTTGTAGGCCAACGCGGTGATCTCCTTGCCGCCCACCAGCACGACCGTCCACCCTTTGGCCGGGTCCAGGAACGAAGCCAGGCAGGTCGCCCCTAAAAGTGGATACCAGACATCAATAAAGGTGTTCAAGGCGTTGCGTTATTATACAAAGGCTGCCATGCGGGTAGAGTGCTCTTCAAGACCAAAAAGGAAGCCCTCTTACCTTCCGGACAGGGAACCTGAACCTCGAACCCAACACTGTCCTCGTCGTCCGCGGCCAGCACCTTGAACACCAGAAACATCTCCCCGGAGAACCCTTGGTACAGGACCATCACCCCATCGCCCAGCAGACAGGTGACCAGGGTTACATCCAGAATCTTTTCCGGATTGACCGGGAGGCTCCAGTGGTCCACCAAGGTGGCCTTCTTCCCCTCGATCTTGACGTAGTTGAGATCCTCTGTCTTGGTCAACCTATCCGGTCGTTGAAACGCTACCATGACCAGTGGTAGTGCTCGCGCCTCATCGCTTGGTTTATGACCCTTGCCGCATGGAAGTACCCCAGGTTAGCATGCTTTCCAATCGCATGGCTTCTTAGAGCCTCAGGACATAACATACCATGTAGATATGGTCCACAGTCGGGAAGACGCCTTGAATGACTTTGGCCGATGGCATCGTGCCCAGGATCTCGTCCAAGGTGATGTTATGCAGTAAATAAAAGTTTGAGGTTGTATCGCTCGCTTTCGTAGCAATGCAGATATCCAGACTGCCGTCCGGTGCCTGTAGGACGGCAAACGCTTGTACCTTGACATCTACGGAGAAGAGGCCTGACAGCTTGGCAAAGTCGAATTTCTTCGGCTCACGGCCCGCGGTGATAATCAGGCTGAGGATGCTGTCTTCTCCCAGGGCGAACACGGCGGGCTGCCATTGCTGGTCGTGGAAGACCCCGAACGCCTCGCCGGCCGGGACCGGGTTGGCGGCCACGTAGTTGGTCATCACCTCCGAGTCCTTTTTCACGGTAATCATGGTGAAAGGATGTTATCAGGCAATGACAGGCAATGAGTTTGGGTAGTGATGTAGACTGAAGGATGGGGAGGAAGGAGATAAGGTAGCGCAAGTGAGTGAGAAGGAGGGTGCTCTTATACGATGGGAGCAAGATTGGCTAGTTGTAAAACATCCCCGGAGAAAATGACACATACAAACTATCTCTCTGTGTGTGTATGTGTGGGTTATCTTTCTCTCTGTGCCTCTCAAGCACACCCAGCTGAAAGCTGGAATTGAGAAGCTCACGATGCCAGGATTGAGACAGGGACCTGTGAATGCCACCTCCCCCCGCATCATGCGCGATTTTCTTGATATGTGCCATGGCTACGACTTGGAGTATGTAACCCTCGTGCGTGCAATGATCGAAGTGCGCATCAACACCCTGTGTAAAATGTAGTATTTTGGTGGGTGGCAAACTGCGCAAGATGAATTGTTTGACGCTTGCATGTTTAGTTGCAAATTTCATGCATGAGGGGTGCATCGGCGGGGCGGAACGGACCTTGGCTGGGTGAACGCACTGAGCGGGGCAATCGTAGACCAAATGAGCTGAGTCCCTTCTCAGCATCTCTGAGAGCCTAGGCTTGCTTTTTCCTTGATGGTGTTAGTCAGATGGCCTGTAGTCTGCAGATCGTCTACCTTTTCCCCCGCCACGTAACGTCTGCAACCAACTATACCCTGCGAGTTGAACGCATGGCACAGACACCCTGAGCGAGGACTCAGCTCTGATCAAACAGGCTGGAAGGCTGCCCCTCCGTGTCTCGCACCTGCATTGTTTTACATGCAGAAGTACAAGTTTTCTTGCGCCTGGTAATGCGACAAGCCCAGAATGGAAACTCGATGTTCGGGGGATCACCGAGCTCAGTGCCGGTTATTCTGATCCAGGCCAATTCTTTGACGTCAGTGGAAGGCGTAGGCAGCTGAAGGAAAAGCAATTAGAGCTGCACGGTGTCAGAGATCTTGTTTGTCGAAAGTGACTATGGCTGAGCTGAACGATATTACCTGATCATATCAAAGGCGGGGAAAGAGGGCGATGAGGATTCGGAGAACCATTCGACAAGAGCCAAACTCAGTCGTACGCTCTTCAAGGGGAGGCTCCCCCACCCCCCTCTCTGGTCAGGCCTATATAATAGGACTTTACTTCGACTGGTCTCACACACAAAGACAGTCAAAAATAACTAACATCTTTCGATTCTGTTATCAGGCCGCTTCCAGCATCATGAGTTCCTCCCAGGAATATTATGTTAACAACACCAGTCCTGATCCTTACGATCAGATCATCGTCCTCTCGCAGAAGGTGATCAATGCAGGATTCAAGAACATGTGGAAGCTCGCCCAGGGGGAGGACGAGGGCCCGTTAACACACTTCCACAAAAGCATTCACGGGGAGTCGATCGACGCGACTATCGGAGCCCCTTCCGTGCAGCTTCATGTCGAAAGCCGTGAGCCCATGTTGTATTTTCTGCTAGCCTTGAAGACGGGAAAGGTGGTTCTGTACAAAAGTCAGGAGTCCGACGATACCATCGAACTCGACATCGAAAACTGGGTCCTCGCCTTCGATGTGGTGATCAGTAAGTGCACGCCGGCAAAATAGGAAGGGCTTGTGCTCGCCACTGCCGATACTGACCCTCCGCCAGACCAGAAGAAAATTTCGAAGGACTCGGACGAGTACAAGAAGTTCAAAGAGCGTGCAGGACTTCCCGAGTCGAACTTTTCTCTCGCGCAGCTCTTCATTGACTCTTCATGTTAGTGCTTATCGTGCCCCTATCAGACGGCCTGTTTCTGACATCCAACCACAGCTAGCACCAAGTTCAACGAAGACATCTCGACTCTCGGTAAAAGCAAATTGAGCGACCTAAGTGGCGATTCGCGGGCTAGCTTGCTTACTTTCATCGATCACTGGGTTAAGGGAATGTCGGATAATGGCAAGAGTGTTCTAGGATACTCGGCCCAGCGCGAGGAAAGCAAAAGCGCCGATGAGCGTAAGAAAGTCCCTCACGTGTAGTGCCAGCGCCCCAAGGAACCTGCTGATTGATGTGACCTGCAGTCAATCCATACGCGCCATCGTTCCCTCCAACCAGCATCGATTACTTCTGTTATCCATGGCGCGGAGTGGATGGCCAGGGATCCAACAAGGATTACCAGGACGACAACGCCTTGTCATACCTGTTGATGTCGAACTTCAAGAATCCCCCGGCTGAGGGTGCCATGGGCTACACCGGCCCGTGGGTCGATGGCGCAGGCGATCGAGGGGCCTCGTTCTGCATGAGCCGAACTTTGTTCTGGGAATGGATGCTGCCCCTCGCCAGACAGGTGGTTGTGGCCATGACTCCGGTGCCGGACACGCCGTACCTCGAGTGGAAGGGAACGCCGTCCGATGCGCCCTATGGCTTTTGGACCAGGTATCATATCGGCGATACCGGGGCGTCAAACAGCAGTTATAAATGGGTTTCGAATGCGTACGGCGGCTGGTCCACGAGCACCGAGGATAGGTCCACGGCGAAGAAAGTCAATAAACCCGATAGTGGGAGTGATTGGATGAATGCGGCACAGTATGGTAGGCATTGCCTTCTCTTCTGTCTCTTCTAAAAAGGATAGATCAAGGGCTCGAGAGGCTGACACCATCTAGTCACCAATATCCAGGCCGGTGTCGCGTTCACGGCCGGGAAAGAAAGCCTCACTGTGAAGGGAGGCAATGACTTCAAATATGACCTCAACCATCACAGATCCTCGGGGAGCCCTACTGAGTGAGCCCTCCTTTTCTTTCTCTCCTGTGTCTCCTGGCAGTCTGGATGTGTCTTCTGACGTGGCGGGTGGGCCTGAATCTGCAGGTTCTGGGTAACTGTACACACCACATGGGAACTAGAAATCGACATGGCCTCTATTGATGAGGGCGGACTTGTCTTCCGCTTCAAGGAGAGTAATGACCATGTGAAGGTTACATACGACGAGGGTGGGGGTATGCACTTGACAGACACCGCGCAAAATATCGCCGACGAGATGGCAGACGGCCTCAAGGCAAGCATGAATTCTGCACTAGATGATGTCAGTCGTGTCTTGGCCGAGGCGATGGCTAACGCAAACCGCCTCTGCCTCCCGGCCGCCGGTACCTTCTTCATGAAGGATCCTCTCTTCAACCAGAGCGGCGATCTGCTGGTTAAGCTGGCATATGATGGGTATGTTCTTCTCTTCGGTGTTTGTGCGTCCGGAGGAATCTAACAGTCTGGACAGGGCGGATCCTCCCCCACCCCCATCCAAGGGAAAATACAGATTCCGTCCCCCGACGTTGAACAGTTCGGTGCGTCGTGCAGATACTCAAGGTAGTGGCAATGCATGAGTCGGGGTCTCTCTGAGACGTTGCTACCGGATGCTTGAGCTTGCAAAGTTCCCCCTCAGGTTGGGATGAGGAGGGCTTCCTTCCCAACAACTAGGATACTTTCGTCATTCCATATCGAGACCCGAGTTTTGCATTGACGAGAATAGATAGCAACACTGTCCTGAAGTTGTTGATGGATCTATTTCCTTGGAAACATGAGAGATGATAACTTGTCTGCATGATGTGCAGCTCAATAGAATTGCCGCATGCCTATGCTAATTCTATTTTAACCGTATCAAGCTTTTAACTTTTATTTCTTCTGCTACCTGTTTTGATCTGTATCAAGTATAGAGTAAATTGTCATCTTATTCCCTTCAGGCTCCACACAGAGGGGCCAAACAAGCGGCCGTGTGAGAGGACTACTGTACATATTAGAGCAGGCATAACTTGAACAAACATCCAAAGCATGATCCATCACCTACATCACCACGGAGTCCAACGAGCGATACGAACTCCACCGAGCGTATACCTACCATCGCGATCAGATGCCGCCACATACAGTACTGACTGAAGATCCTCTGACGGTGAAAATGGAGAGAAACACCGAGGAAGAAGTAGTCACGATCGGAGCCCCAGCCCCAGGAGCCCACATCGAAATGGTCGTGCGGTGGATTACCCGACTCGCCTCGGCTTTTCCGCCGAAGCACGTCGGGCAAGACCGCATCGTCGCCTTTCTCGAAGCCCTAAGAGCGCTCCCCCGCCACGGCATCCAGATCATCAATCCAATGCGAGAGAACGATGAGGAGGATAAGTTTTATACCACACTGGAAGTGTGGCCGCTGGACGGGAACTTCCTGGCATTGTCGTCGGAGGTTCGCTACGAAGGAGAGGGCTAGTAGCAATCTTTCTTTTTGTTTCCTTTTGTTCAGAATCTCACTACCAGATGATGTGAATGCAGCTTTTATCTACCGCCACTACCCGGCAATCCAGCCCCCGCCGACCGATCGAGACCTTCGCTGGCGGAACTACCAAGCGGCGATCGCGCGCTTCACAGTTCGGAATCTGATCGATTGCACGCATCTCTGCGCGCTGGAAGGAATTCTACCGGACGACGGCTGGTACCCGGACTTGGACGACCCCGCGGGTCGAGACTCGGGGTACAGATGGCTCGCCGGCTGGGTGATCGCTGGGGCTCAGTGGCTGTTGCGACCCGAAGTGAGGGCCCATGTGTATCAGCAGTGCTTGAATCGGGAGAAAGTCGGGAGGCGGGAGGACATGTGGAGCAGGGAACGATGGCAGCAGTGGAAGGATCAATTCGCACGCATCGCCATCGAGGAGAGGCTTGGGCCCTAGGCTCGGGAGCTCGCGGGTTTGGTTCGTCAAGGGATGATTGCTCACGAAGAGGAGATTGCTTCGTCTCCCGTGACAGGCAGTCTGTAATGCTTGCTCTTGGGTCTCATACCTAGGAATGTTATATTTAGAATTTGCAACAGGACCCGCGCCAACAAATCATTGGCTTCTTGTTATCATCTTGAATCAGCAGTCTATGTTTGACTAGGTACGTCTCTACCTAATGTATCTTGAGTTTCACGTAGCGTTCTCAGTAGGTTAGGCTCTCGAGGTTGTTGGGGAACCATTGGGCGTCCTCGCTCAGACCATTCGTCAAGAAACCAACCGCCAGGCGAACAGCAAAGACCCCCCAATTGATCTTGAGTCCCTCGGGCTCGGGCGCTTCACTCTCATTCCTCTCTTCATCCCAGGTCGACATGTCAGGGTCCTCGTTTTGGTAGAAGCATGAAAACAGCAGGCGAAGGGCGTCATCAGCCTCAGTCCTCGCTGATTGTGCTTGTTCCTGAGTGAACGAATTGGTCTGGTACTTTGGGGACTCCCAGAGCTTCTCCATCCAGTCGCCGTATTCCCCGAAGGCGTCCTCGCCGTTCATGTATCCGACCTCATCTAGCATTTGCATCATCTCTTCCATCGTGGCCTCGTCCATCGCCCCGATTTCGATCATCGTCTCGATCATCTTCCGCATCTGCTCCATGCTAATGTACCCACTTCGCACCACATCCTTGAGCATCTCGACATTCACGTGGCCCTGCTCGTCGATCACCTCCTGGCAGAGCTGCTGGCCCATCCTCATTCTCTCCTGCTCGAACTCATCCTCGTCAGGTTCCTCCTCCTCCTCCTCATCATCGTCCGACCCGCGCTGGACGTCTTCGGCGGATGGTGCATCCGCTTGCAGGTCTAGCTGCCCCAACGCCTCGGCAACCTGCTCCTCTACCACCTCGCCTGCATCCTTTGGGTCGGCTTCGTGGGCGTCATCGTCCAGCTCCGCCTGTTCATGGCTGAGTTGGTTGGTGTCCGCGGCCGTCGACCTGCAGCGCTCTTCGACCTCCTCCATCTTGCCGACGACATTTTTCAAGCCGAAGACCCGGGCAAAGTCGGCGACCGAGGACGCCAACTCGGCGCAGCGCTTCCAGTCTCCACGGAAGCTGAGTAGTGCGATCTAGTTAGCTGATCTGTCTCAGGATCTGTAGTTGCTGAGGGAACAGAGATCATTGGACAACTGTACTGTACCTCTCGTTTTCCAATCGCCAGAGCGCCTGTCTCATCATCTTGAACCTCCAGTTGACCTCCCACTCTTGCTCTCCGTTGTAATCAAAGTAGTAAAGGAAGTTCTAGAATGGGATTAGTCGCGCTTGCTCTGGAACAGGGCTGGGGTTGCGGGCCTCGAATAGTTTGTCCTTGTCAAAGTGTTCCTGAAGCTGCCATTCTCCCATTTCCCAGAACTCTTCGTATATGTTTTCATATTCATCTTTCATGAAGGACTTCATCTCCTCTTTTTCTTCGTCGAGACTAGGATCCATTTTTGTTCGAGTGTGAAGCGTAGTTTGAGGCTGGGGGTAAAGTTTGCAGGTCCTAGACTGGTATTGTTGCGTTGTCAACATACAGGAGAGGACGCCGTAATTTGGGACTGTGAATGGGATGAGAAGGGACAAGCACAGAGCATTTAAGCCCGCTATGTGTCCGCCGCGCGCATGTAGATCCATCGGGCGTTTTCGTCACTCAGCTGAATCGGGGGAGGATCAGCATCAGCTCCCCCACAGTTCGGGCCCACTGTTACAGAGTCCTGGGACCAATCTGCAATTCCTATAGAGTACTTACCTGACTCAATCCCATTCTCGATGTGGAGAGCTGAAGAATCGAACCGCACTGCATGCTGTACCAGAGTAACTTATTGCGTGTCTCCACTGTCGCGACGATTCACGGCTCAGATCACTTTCTCCTCTCGCTTGTTGCTGCCGCGCTTTTCCGATCAATCTCGGTGAATGTCGATCGAATGCCGATCTCGCACACCCCTAGCTCTTCGATGGGAAACCATCTTTCGTGCAGGATCGACCACTCCCTAGGACGTGGGACCTCTACCGCAGCTCTCCGGCAGTAACGAATTGCAGTGATATCGGAGTCCATATGACCCTCTACCTGTCGGGCCGTGTGAGTGTTTGGTGGATCGCGTCGCCATCGACCATACCAGCGCTTGCGACGATTGACCGGAATTTCATCAGGCAGAATTGTGGTTATATGTGGGAATCTCCAGCTCAGGCCCTCGGCGAACATACTATGATTTCAGAATCGCCTTTTTTCTCCCTCTTTCGTTCATGTTAAGACTCAATTGGGTAAAAAGTATCGGAAGGTAAAAGGGATAAAAGAGGGAATGAACAAAGGCTTCGTTTTTGAGCATAAGATAAGTTATAGTAACAAAAAACATACAACAGAAGGGATTCGCTGGTGGTCACCCACCCAACTACTAACCTCCCGGCGTGTGGCTTAAGTACGGCTGAGCGGACGGGAAGCCCTGTTTTCCACACCCTGTGGTCGTATGTGCTTTCAAACTGCAGTAGAGAAAATATGAAGCTTATTCTACGGTTCTTAGTACGAAGGGAATTCATTGCTGAGTTCATATCACCCACTGGGTGCGTACCGAAAGATAGCCAGGTCAAATGCATCATCTAATGGATGCTCCACTTGAGAGCGGGAGCCAACCTTCGCCAGGTAAACTGCCTGAGAACGGCCGGATGATATCCGAATCGAAAGGTCAGGTCTTTGTATGTATAATCCTACAATGACTTAACTTACCCTTTGGTATTGGGTTGAGGTCGGCGTTGCAGACTGGCCAAAAGTGTCACGAGCACGGTCTCGTAGTGGCCTCGACCAATACAAGCCTGGGGAGTTCTAGCTCGCCATCAAGTCAGTAGGGTAGTCTCTTGTCTCTTCCTCGTGAATATGGTATCCCAAAACAGATCGCCACGAGTTAAACAGATTAGTATGGCTCTTGATTGCCGGTAAACGCCTCCGCACCCTACCGAGTAGTTGCATTCTGGGCTCAGTTTGAGGGTTTCATTCTGCCTGTCATTCGACAGTCGCGGATCGTTCGACCCACAGTCGTCAGTCTGTCTGCCCCGGAACCCCCACCCTCTTCGGTGGAAGCTTAGGCGGGGGGTCCCCTACCCAGCCCTAGCAGGTGATTACTCCGGCCATGCCTGATCATGTACGTTGTCGAGCGTGGTCACAGATGAGATCGAGAGAAATCTCTTCTTCGAATACTTCAAATGCCGACAAATGCAGTTGAACCACGGTCAAACCATGCCCATGCCTGCTCATCGGGGCGCACCCGGCCGCGTCTCTTAGGGCTAAGTTCGAAACCACGGGACAGCATCGTGACTACCATCCCGTACAAACCCCATATAACATTCGAGGGGATACCGCATTTTCATAAGGTTCGCCCTCAACTGCCCTCGTGATTTAATCAAATCAAGAAGAAAGAAAGACCACACACCGACGCAACTCGCTCTCGCTCGAAGAATAATTATAGATAGAATAGGGACCAAGAAGAAAAAGAAAAGGGGAACCCGCCCCAACGAAAAAAGCTCAAACTCCAATATCCCGGAAATCTTGATCAACTAAGCAGCCACTCATGCCCCAGCCCCAGCCCCAGCCCCAGCCCCAGCCACCACCTCACACTCGATCAAGCTCTCCGACCACCGATCCGCCGCCCAGATGCGCAGGATGCGGAACCCGGCCTCGTGCAGGAGGCGCGTCCACTGCGACTCGGTGCGCTCCGCGCCCGCAAAGTCCGCCAGCATGACGAAGTCCAGCCCCGTCGCCTGCCACTGCGCGCCGCGGTCGGGGATCACGTTCTCGTTGATCAGCAGCCGGCTGTACCCGGGGGTCATGGCGGCGCGCAGCGGGGCCAGGATCTTGTGGCAGATCGCGTCGGGCCAGTCGTGCAGCACCGAGTGGAGGAAGTAGGCTCTTGCTCCTGTTTGAATGATTGGGCGTTAGCTTTTGCTCTTCTTTCGGCTTCCCGTCCCCTTTGTATTTCAATACAGGAACAAGGGGAGGGGGAAAAGGGGAGGTACCTTTACAAGGCTGCTCGGTGAAGAAGTCATGCGGCATGCACTCGATCGACTCGTGCAGCTGGCTTCCCACCACCTCGGCCAGGACGGCGGGCTGGTCCTGCAGGATCAACCGTCCCGGGGTGTTGGGCCACTTGGCGCGGAACTCGGCCAGGTCGTGGCCCTTGCCGCCGCCTACGTCTACCAGCAGGATCCTGCTGGCTGGGTCTGTTGTCGTTGTGTCGACCAGGAGGCGCTGCTCGACCGGGTAGAAGCCCGGGTCCATCCAGCTGGCGCGCCCTTGGTGGTAGATGGACATGAGATTGTTGAATTGGGCGCTGATTACCGGGTCCCGGCTCACGAAGTCGAAAAAAGCGGACTGGGTGTTGTAGCCGAGTTGGAAGGGACAGTCGAGGCCGTTGGCTGGGTCGCGATAGCCCGTTTTACGGAGGAACTCCGGAATCGCGGTGATGGCACGCCCGGTGGTCCGCGTTCTACAGGCGTCGGGTTAGTTGGGGGCGTTTTTGGAGACCCCAGATAATGGGAGGAAGGATTCCGGGGAAAGCATACATCACGGGAAATGCATCGGCGTAGCGGGTGTAGGTGAGCGTGCGCGAAAGGTTGTTGCTGGTGTATTCATCCTTACCGGTTTCGGTGACAGCGTGAATGGCGTTGAGTTGCTTCATGATTCGTTCTAGAGGAGGTGGCGACAAGGATTAGTGGTACGGAAGAGGTAAATTGGGGAGTAGGCGCCTACGTAGCAGGACGATGTCAGCGCCGGTGGCTGTCGCCAGTTCGGCCACGGACATCGGCCGGTCATTGTTGGACAGATATCGGAAGATCCCGAGGTCGATGGCTGTCTCAATCACGGCAAAGCCGGTAGTCTAGTGGACTACCCGTCAGCTTGTTTGAGGGCAGAATGTGCGGGCGCTTGGGGGGGCAGCG